CTAGATCCAGAGGACATGGAGGAAGGTAGAATCTCCACTGAGTAGTATACAATTTGTCTAGGCGGGGCTGATGAAAGGAAATGCGATTAGGTCTCTTGTGATCCAATAGTGAATAATTGTTATCAGGACTGATTGTGAGGGTTGGAAATGTAAAGGTAGATGTTTTGTAGCAAGGAGGGATGTTATTAACTTTTCAATCTAGGAGCGGAGGTCCCTGAGACCATCAAGGGAGAAGAGCGGAGAGCAGGACCCTGCCCAGAGAAGCAGTGATGCCAGAGATGGAAGCAGAGACAATGACGTAGAGAGATGGAGCAGCTGGGGACTTTAGATCCAGAGAGGGAGAGGGGCTGTGTGCTGATGACCGGGGGTGGGGGTGTGGACAGCCTTGCAGGGTATACCCTTTGATTGGTTGATGCAATATATACAATAGGATCAATGTAAAACTAATGTTCTCCCATGTCAACCATCACATAATTCACAATAAAACATAAAAAAAAAAAAAAAAAGATAATGGAATTTTCCCAGAAGCTTTCTGGAAGGCTTCTTATATGTTTAGATACCACATGTAGGTTCTAGGTGATATGTTCTATTTCTTGATTGTTGCTGTTGTTAAGTGCCATCGGGTCAGTTCGGACACATAGCAACCCTGTATAGGGTTTCCAAGGAGCAGCTGGTGAGCTTGAACCACCAACTTTGCAGTTCAAACGACTTTGCAGTCAGGCGCATTAACCCACAGCGCCACACCAGGACTCCTTATCTCTTGATGATGGTGGTTATGTGCCGTGGAGTCAGTTCCGACTCATAGCGACCCTGTATAGGGTTTCTGAGGCTGTAAATCTTTATGGGAGCAGAAAGCCTCATCTTTCTCTTGCCGAACATCTGGTAGTTTTAAACTGCTGACCTTGAGGTTAGCAGCCCGACTCATAATCACTACGCTACTAGCATGTTGACAAAATACAGATCTTTAACGTTGTAGTACCTCCAAATGGTACTTTTCTCAAAATGCATAGTGTGCAAGATTAGGAGGATACGTTTGTTAAGTTTGGAAACATTGCCTGAATGCATACTGTGGGAAAAGCAACT